TATATATATATATATATATATATATATATATATATATATATATATATATATATACGATTAATGCTTTACTTTAAATTTTCAATAGGAAACAACTGACATGTCTGAAGTTCCACGTGGTCAACTTCTTACTCCTCATTTGTGTGTTTTAGGTATGTATCAGTTATAAATTTATTTATTTAAAAGTATGTATACCATATATAAAATAGTTAATATTGTTATTTGTACATATAATTTTTAAATTAAATTTATTTTTAAACTATAGTTTAAAAATATTTATTTCTCAGCTTAGACTAAATGAACTATATATATAGTTTTTTATACAATACTTCAATCAATTTGTGTTAATTTTTATTATGATATTTTATTTAGTTGCAAACATAGTTTAAAAGTTTACTGAAAGATACTGAAAAATTTATTTCTTAAATTAAAGTTCTTTCGTTTTGTGCATCTATTCTATTTAGGAGATGCATTGCTGACAGCAAAAAGGTTCGTTCTACTTGTTGACGGTATTCCAATAGTAGAGAACATTACAAATTTTACGAAAGCATTTTGTTGTTTGTTTGCTTGTTATTATGTATTCAACATTCCTTATCCAAATGAAGTATCAAAAACTTTAGAATTTTGCCAGCGGTAAATTATTATCTTTTTATATAATTATATATTTTTCTTATTTGTTTATAATTATATTGTTTATTTTAATTAATATTTATAACTTTAATATATGTTTTATTTAAGATAAATTTTTGTTCTTTCATTATTGTGTCTAAAATTGAGATAAAACTTGCTAAGAAAGTTTAACTTCAATTAAAAATTAGTTATGAATAAATATAAAAAATATTAACTTGAAATTGAAATCATTTCTGTTTCATTGCTTTTAGTGTTTTTTTTGGAATCAATCCTGAAAAGGGATCGAAGTCGCGATGCACAAAGAAGGCGATGACTGTCAATAGAACTGTGTTAAAAATGATGCAGAAATTAGCTAGCTTCATTTAAATATATATATATATATATATATATATATATATATATATATATATATATATATATATATATATATATATATATATATATATATATATATATATATATAATGGCTGTTTTGGTAATGTAGTTCAATACATTATATATTACAATATAATATATTAGAGTGTGTAAATGCATATATCGTGTTTTTATTTGATTTTTTATTTTATGTTTGATAGATTGTGTATACACATGAATATATTTTGACTAATCTAGACACACTGTCAGATAAATTTGTCATTATTGTTTTGATCTTACTCGTTTAATACGATGTTATTGCTGCTTTATATAATAAACAGGGTTTTTTAAAAATTTCCGTGCGCCGACTAAAAGGAGTAAAAGGCCGTTATTATACCGTTACCCATAAACGCCAGTACTTTACCGTGATTTTACGGTACAAAAACGGAAAAGTTTCACGGTAGAAAAACGGGAATTCAAATATAAATTCACGGTATTCTACCATAAATGTTTTACGTTTCTGTACCGTGAAATCACGGTATAGTACTGGCGTTTATGGGTAACGGTATAATACCGTGATATTCACGGTAAAGTTTTACAGTGTATATATATATATATATATATATATATGTATATATATATGTATATATATATATATATATATATATATATATATATATATATATATATATATATATATATATATATATATATATATATATATATATATATATATATATAGTGTATATTTATATAACACATATATCCTTATAGTGTTATAAAAGTATTATTTATATAACACATATATCCTTATAGTGTATATATATATATATATTCTTATAGTGTAGTCTTTCGACTACACTATAAGGATATATATATATATATATATATATATATATATATATATATATATATATATTTACAGAAAATACAACCAAATATAGGTAGGTAGGCAACACAGCTGTTACACTGTCACTAATACTCAGTATATGAAAGAATTTTTACTGCGAATTGCAAATAATTATCTCAAGAAATATAACTTTTTTTATTCTGCAAAAGTATTATTTATATAACACATAAGAAAAGTAGAAAAGTATTATATTAAGTAATTTAAAATTTTTTTACTTATATCATACCTTATTACTTTGGAAAAAAAATGTTCAAAAAGTTTTTTTTTTTAATTTTGAACAGAATATTTTCTTAAGTATTACTCTCAATCTCTCAAGATATACAACTTATAATACAACCTTTTTTTAATTCTGTAAAAAGTATTATATAAATAATATTTTAGAGAAACATATTAGAAAAATAGTGCATACATATATATTGAGTAATTAAAAAAAGTATTACTCGAATCGTAACTATTATTTTCGAAAAAGTAAATTCAATTTTTTTTTTAAACAGCATATTTAAATAAATATTAAATCATTGTGTAAGTTGTTACAGATTATAACAAATTACGCAATGAGGAAATGTTGTGCTTTGATGAAAAAATATACAGTGGCATGTCTCTTGGCTCCCTGCTACATTACTGAGTTGGTAAAAACAAATAGCAGATACTCAAATAAAAAATTAGAAACATTTTTCTCACTAACTGTTCATTTAATACAATTTAATGATAAAAAATGCTACAGAACAAAATTTTTTTTTTTTACAGGCAAGTTGTTTTTGTTAATTGTTTGTTTTGTTTTTCTTTTAGTTATATATTAAGTACGAACAATTAGGCATAATCATTTACGATTTGCCTTCTTTACTCTTTATGGATTAATAGAGTGTTTGAATAAACAAGTTTTCTGTTAAAAAAAAGTTTGGAATTGTAAAATTACAAAAAAAGTGTTAAGAATTTCTTGAAAATGATACTTACAAAATCTAATTTCGCTTATAAACGCAAGCAACTAAACATATAATTTTTTAATATAATACAAGACAACTTGTTGATAAATTTGTATTTGAATCCGCTATTCGGCGCATTACAATATTGAAAAGTTATAGGGAAAGGTTATTTTTTTGGGTGTATATCGCACAACATTTTTTCAAAAGGGAATTTTGAAAAAATGTTGTGCGATGTTCTTAACGATTTAAGTAGCGGATTTCAACAAACATATTGCAAAGCCTTTAAAACATAACACATAAAAATTTTTGTCAAAAGCTTTTGTAGTTATCACGCGAAATACTTTTGTATATAGCTCATTTTCTAGCTTTTTTATAAAGAGTTTAATTTTACTAGTAAAATATTGATTTCGATTATTAAAATAATGAAAGTTATTTCACTTGAAAAAAAAATTATTTATTTATTAATATTGTTTGGTTATTTAACTGCAAAATAAAAAAATAATGAAGACTTATTGAAGAAATATATTTTAAGATCTAAAAGATTAAAAATCTTAGGTTAAAAGAAAATATGCGCAAAACTTCAATTTGATTTTCAAGCTGACCGCAAGTTACAAAAATGCCCTTTGAAACAGCCGTGGCAAATAGAGGTAAGATGATCAGGAATATCATACATATTGATGAGAAACAATACAAGACTAAAGCTTTGTGATACTCTCTAGATTATTGGAAACAAAGGATACACCTGCAATTAAAAAGGAATGATTCAATAGTTTTTAAACTTAATTTATGTTTTAAAATTTTCCCAAAATTCCCAGACACCATATAAAGAGATTATAAAGAAGTTCAGCATGCCAGTTTTTACTGAAACAACATACATTCTACAGTCATACTGAAAGTCTTTGATATGTGAAGAGCAATAACTTTGGCTTCTATTTTCTTTTGGCACTGTAGAACCTTTTTGTTGCAAAGATTAACAAACAGCAGTGGAAAAAGATTTTCAAAGTTTTGAACTCAAGATAAAATATAAAACGTTTGTTAAAAACTCAAAAGTCTTGCTGATAAAAATAAAAAAAACTAAAACAGGTTATATACATTTGATAAAAGCAAAAATGCAAAGAAAATGCACAAATGTTTGAGCTAAATAGATATTGGTTCAGCATGAGCTGTTACTTATGCAACATTGCATATTAAAAAGCTTCATGCAGCAGTAAAAAATAATTCTTGTCTACTAAAAGCAATAAAACGTCATCAGCCACATCTTGTTTAAAATCATCTTTTTTTGAAAAAGTTGTCTAGAGCTTGAGCCAAACAAGATGATCATTCTTTAGTCAATTTTCCTTTGTCAATTTAATCTTATTCAATGTCAGTCTTTGCATGTAGTTAATAAAATAATAATATAGAGAATTTTTTGGAAATTAATAGAAGTTATAGTTAAACTTTTAATTAGCAAAAGTGACTTCTTTGTTGAACGGACTTCAACAAGTAAAAGATAAAAAAAAAATACTAGTTTTTGTTGACTGCAATAACATAAACCATGCAGCATAAAGAATTTCTGTCAAATTGTATAGAGACAAAAAAAGTAGATAAAAAGTGAAGCCATCATAAACTTAAAGAAAAATCATGAGCTACCATATTCGATGGTGTTGTGAGTAATACAGCAAAAAAAGTTGATAGAACCATGATATAGCAAAATATTTATGCTAATATTAGAAACGTGTCACAGGTTCTACCAACTGCTTTTCTTATTTACTTTATTTTTAATTTAATTTTAGAACTTAATTTCAACTTTTAAATTCTTATATCATGTTAACTTACTGATAAGATTTTAATTTCTTCCTACCTCATATTAGCTCAAGTTATCTCATGTTATATCATGTTAGCTCGTGTTAGCTTACTGAATGGTTCCTATCTCATGTTAGCTTACTGGAAAGAATGGTTAAAAATTGAATGGTAAATTAATTGAAGTAAAAATGATTGAAACTTAAAACTGAAAAAATGGTTAGTAAGCAAAGTTTTCATTTTCAATGTTAAAAAATTTTCACTAGGAGAGTTGTTCAATAAACTTTAGTAACAAACAGCTATTCTAGTTGTTTAACAAACTTTATTAACAAAAAACAAAATTCTTCATTACAACTCATCAACCAAAATATACAATTTAAAAAAGTATTTTAAATCAAAAGTCTTACAATTGTATTATGCATACAGTCCAAACATATACTTGTGTGTGTTTCATTAGCACAATTACTGTGGCCATTACACTGACATGGCACATTGCAACCTATTCCAGTCCATCCAAAGCTACAATTGCATTTGTTTGGTTCAATACACTTTCCATTTATGCAACTCTCACATACTGGAACACAACTAAATGCATTTTTAAAAAGATTAATATCAACATATTTAAAAAGGAAGACAAAAAAAAAAAAAAAAATTGACAATAAATATTAATAAAACTAAAAAATTTTAATCACCTTTCACCCTGTAAATTACTGCTCAATCTCCTATACCCTGGTTGACAATGACATTCAAATCCTATATCTTTGTCTATACATAACTCAGATAGGTTGCAAGGTTTATCTAAGGACTCACACTCATTTTCTAAAGGACAAACTATAAATACCCAAGTTTTGTTTTTTGCATACATATCTGTATTGTCAATAAAAGTATTATAGTCTGCTTGTTCACATTTTGAATTTGTTGGTCCTAAGTAAATAATTTTTTTTTTTTCAATTAAAAATATAACATTTAATATTTTTACATTTAACTATTTACACTTCACTATATGTAAAAATGCAAAAAAATAAGTAGGTCATAAACACTTTAAACATATAAGAAAAATACATATGTATATGCGTAAATAAACATACCTTCAATATCACCTTTTAAACATTTTCCAGAACCATTATGGTTATCTGCACACCAGCCACAGTGCGCTAATTTAGTACAAGATATACAATCTTTTTGTAACTCACATAAAATTGGACATTGACCACCCATTTCCTTTGAGTGTAGTTGACCGCAAGAGCCAAATGAACACTTTAATGGGAGTAGCGAATATGAAACACAAGTACTTAACTTTTCACTCCATAAACAACCAGGTGAACTGAAATCTTCAAATACTTTAAATAAAAACATTATGTTAAGTAAAATTATTTAATTGCAACTATTTAATGGAAAAAGTTTAATATAATTTTCAAGTCTTTTTTCTTTGTCTTTTAAACAATTCCTTTATTCATAATTTTTTTTTTTCTCGAAACAAATTAAAATTTTAGGTATATAAAATCTATGATTAGGAAACTACAGAAGATGTTTATTAAAAGAACTATTAAATGATGACTATTAAACGAAAGTCTGATATCCTTAAAGAAATTAGTTTACTAATATAGAAAGTTTAATAATTGAAATACATACATTATTTTGCCTAAAAAAAGCTTTAGAAACTTCTGAGAACAAAATAAAAAAAATTTTAGAAACAGAATAAATTTTGAGAACATATAGAGTTTTTTGAACGATGTTTTAAAGTACAAATATGTTAAAACAAAAAATATTTTAAATTACTCAAAAAATCAAAACTTAGCACTCTTTAAATGTACAAAAAAGTAGGAGCTTGAATAGTAAATAAAAAGTACAAAACTTGGGAAAAAATTATAAGATAAGTACATTGAAGGATGATAAATCATTGAAAAAATTTGGAAAGGGATAAAGTAAGCACTTTACCACTATAGATCACATCTGTTGTTATTATGTAGATGTTATTTTTTAGATTTCTTATTAAGTTTTTGTTTTTTGGTTGATTTTCTTATTGTTATTATGTAGATTTTTATGGTTTCTTATTGAGATTTTGTTTTATCATTGATTTTCTTGTTTTTTATGTATTTGATTTGATAAGACTTGATTAAAATTTATTAGAACAGGAATACATGTTCTAAAGGACATGCAGGTTCAATAAATAAATAGGACTCTGACAGCATGCTACATAACAATAAAATAAATATACTAAAAGGGTATAAATATAAATGTTAACAATTATATTACAAATATAATTGTTTCAATAATTAAAAACATCGTCTATAAAACATAAAAAAATAAACATAATAAAAATTCTATTTTTATTTTAAAATTTTAAAAATAATTAAAAATAAAGATAATAAAAAAATAAAGACAAATTAAAAAAAAAATTCTACAAAATAGAATGTGTGAGTATTTAAAAAGAAAAACCTTGTTCATTTAAGCAGCTATCACAAGTGGTGTGATCAACACAATAATTTTGAAACTGTCTTGATTTAGTTATACACTGACTAATTTCATTGAAGGTAGTAAGACAAGATGATGAATTTGAAGCACAGTAGCTCTCTTGACACCATTTGCATCCACTATATTTTGGGTAACTTGATAGGCAGGAACTACAGGAGGTGTATGATGAGCATTCTCTTTCATAATCCACAGAACAAGACATACTGCTTGTAACCATGGAGATATTTTCACTACAGGATTTTACATTTTTATCAAAGCAGAACGAGTCATTAATTTTACTACACCAACTACAACTGATTTCAGATAAGCATTTTAATTTTGTTTCCTGATATGCACAAATGTCTCTCGGCACTGAAAAGAAAATTAACTTACCATTCACATTATAATTAAACCCGCCATATAAAAGAATAGTATTATTGAAAATTGCTGATAAAGCAAACAACATATTTGTATTTCCAGTATCACGAACGAAGTTGTCTAAAACAAAATAGTATATATAAAGTATATAAAATAAAGAACAGAAATTAAAAAATAAATAAACAAAACAGAAAAAAAAAAGGTGAAATTAAAAAAAAAAAAAATACAAATAAATACAATATATAAAAAACAAACCATACACCATTACTACATATTAAAAGTATTACACAATACACATACAATATACAATAGTATTACACATCACAAAATACACACAATAGTATTACACATCACAAAATACATACACTATAGTATTACACATCACAAAATACACGCAATAATATTACACAATAAAAGTGTTAGTCAATTCAAAACACATTTATTTAAAAAACTAATTCACATACATATATACACTTTAAACTAATTTACTAATTCACAAGGTTGCAAGCAAGAACTATTTAGGTTTGGATTTACCAGAAAATAAATTGTTAAAGTGCAAGAAAACAGTTGACAAAAAAAAAAACTGTAAATAGCATAAGTGAAATACAACAGTATTACACATTAGAAGTATTACACAATGCAGCACACATCCATATACAATAAAATAAAAAAACAAAAACATTTTTATCAAGTTAAAAAAAATCAAATTACCATTTCTCTGAAGGAAAGACCACAAGTTACACACTGGCCTCCATATATAGATATCGTTATTAAAACCAACGGAGTCATCATAGCCAGATATAATAAATAAAGTGCCATTAATCATATGTCCACTATGTCCAAAAATAAAAGGCGACTAGAAAAAAAAAGACAAAGTATTAAACACAATAACTATTCTCTAATAATTTAATACTTTATTTTATATATTAAAAAAAATTACTATGTATATATAAAAAAAACATAAACCGAGTTTGCTGGTTTTGATTCCACAAGGTTCCAATATCCATTTTCAGGGTCAAAAATATATACTTGATTAGATATTTTAGTTTTGTTTTTATAAAATTCTATTCCCCCATGGACAACTATCTTTTTCTCTTCAGGATAATAAACTGATACATGACCATATAGAGCTAAAATAAATTTGAAAAAACAAAACTAATTTATGTAATACTAAATTTGAGCAAAACAAAAAAATGTTATGTTGTTAAAAAACTAAAAATCTAAAAATTTAAATAATGAAATATAATGTAAAAATCGAAGAAATAAAATTTTAATGTAAAATTTTAGAATTTATTAAAAAAAAAAAGAAAAAAAAAGAATTCATTTTTTTATTCACAAATCTTCACTTCACTGCTTTCTGTTTATGAGTGAAAAGACTAATGGTCATACATTACATAAAAAATTTTTTCAAGACTAAATATAGTGTTGTTACCAAATAGAGCCACTTTAAATGTCAGGAAGATCATTAATATAGATGAGAAATAACACAAGACCAAGGTGGAACCTTCTGGTACTCAGAAGTTACTGGAAATGAAGAGTGTTGGCCTTCAAGAAAAAACTTAATACTGGGATAAAGAAGAAATAATTCATCTCAAAAAAAAAAAAAATTTATAATTTAAAAAAAAGTGTATTTTTTTTTTTTTTTTAATTTTGTTATAATATAAACCAGGTTTGGTTTGAAATTTCAAAATTTATGCTTATTTTTATTTTGCAAAAAAAAATTTGATTACTTTTAAAAGTATTTTTTTATTTTTGATAGTTGCTCAGCAACTCAATGTAGTCCCAAAAAATTGCTTTGAACCAATAATTAGTTTAAACAATCAAGAAAACATCCAAAATAAAGGAAAAACACTAAAGATCTTTTAATGAAAATTTATTTAAAATATAATATGTAAATATATCAGACTTTATGTGTTACATAATTTATGATAAGTACAGTATATTATGGAATCCCAATTTTGGCCTAAGTTTCCAGACCTGTGAAATCTCATGTTCTTTTTTTATGTGAGAACTTTGCTAAGTGCTGGAATTATATTAACTATTGCAAAGACATTCAAACAATTAACAAAAATGTTCCTCAAAAATGTTGCTCAAGGAAATAAATTAAATAGAACTACAATTACCAAAATTTAATTGTTATTGTTTACTTTTACTTATTAAATGATTATAACTTGGTTATAATGTTATAACTTCAAGTCAAACAACATGTTTTTTTAGAGAATTTATGGGTTTTTAAAACACTTTGTAAAAATTCTAGCTAAGGGAGATTAATTAAAAAGTAAATGGTTATTTTGCTTTCTAATAAGATACTTTTGATTTCAGATTTTTTTTTAAATAAGCTTTTTATTGTTATGGAAACACATGTCAATAAAAATATGATGCCTTCAATGTCAATTATTAACTAAAAGTCAACAAAACTATTCTTGGTAATGGTGTAGTGTATTTGTAAGCAAAAAGTTTAATTTTTAATCCCTGTCGCATCCCTCCTAGTACTGCATATAATTTGTTTCTTCCCTCAACAGGGAAGAAACAAATTATATGCAGTACTAGTTGTTGTCCAATTTTGGACAAAATTTGTTGTCCAACATTGGACAACAAATTTTGTCCAATGTTTTGAAGTAAAATAGTTGAGAGAGGGTTGTAACCATAATTAGAAAAAATATAACAGTAATAATAATAATAATAATAATAATAATAAAAAACCACCTCAACTCTAGTGACCTCAACTCTCTCTCTCTCCCCCTCTCCCCATATATGTATATATATATATATATATATATATATATATATATATATATATATATATATATATATATATATATATATATATATATATATATATATATATATATATATATATATACTAACTGTCGAGATATGTTGGAGGTAACTGATTTTGGCCATATGATCTTGTTTCTGTGTATGCTATTATGTTATGGTAAACCTTTATGCTAAAATGTTTGTGCTGGCCTGATGCCAAAAAAAAAAAATTTAATATCTTATTTTTTCTAATTGTGTATGTCTATATATATATATATATATATATATATATATATATATATATATATATATATATATATATATATATATATATATATAGGCCCTTCCCGCCAAGGCCTATATATTGCCCACACTCCCCTAAAACAGTTTACAGGAGCAATTAACGGCTCTCGCAAAAGTATAACTTTTCTTACAAAAGTATAATAATTGTTGTAACTAAAATAAAAAAGACAATATCATTAAAAAAAAACTAATTGCATAATATATGGCAATGCTTTTTAAAAAGCACAGTTGCTGGAAAAAAAAAGTTAAAATTCAAAAAGAGCCCCAATTTAAATGAGGAGCAGCTCGTTCGTTTTAGGAGAACTTTTCTCCACTCTCGTGCTCATTTATTCTCGCCGAGGCCTCTCTCTCTCTCTCTCTCTCTCTCTCTCTCTCTCTCTCTCTCTCTCTCTCTCTCTCTCTCTCTCTCTCTCTATATATATATATATATATATATATATATATATATATATATATATATATATACATTTAAAAATATATATATATATATATGTGTATATATTCAAACTACTTATAATCAAACTACTTCAGCTTGTATTGCTCATAGTCATATCTTGATTAAACTCTTCTTCAGCCTGTGGTCCAGACAAAATTCCTGTCACAGTCATACAAAATTGTTCTTCAGGACTCAATTTTCTCTAAAATATTTATTAAGTACTTGACTGATTCTTGTTTTCCTGCCTGCTGGAAAATGGCACCTGTTGTTCTATTTTTTAAAAACTCTGCTAAACATACTGACCCCTCCAAACATTGCCCAATCAGTCTTCTTTTTGTTATTAGCAAGGTCTTTGAGTCTTTGTAAAACATATTTCTCACATTCCAACTTTAGCCAAATAACTTGCTGTCAGACAACCAATACGTGTTTCAATCTTCTTGCTCTACGGCTGACTTGCTAACTGCTGTGATTGAAAGATTTTATCGTGCATTAGATGGAGGCTTAGAGGCTATTGCTCTAGACATATCTGAGGCTTTCGACAAAGTTTGACATGTTGGTTTTCTCCATAAGCTTGTTTCATATGGTGTATCTGGGAAATTTTTGAGATAATCAAATCAGTTTTTTTCTAACCGCCTTAATAAAGTCATCCTCGAAGGTCAACACTCTTCTTTATTTCCAGTAACTTCTGGGGTACCTCAAGGATTATCCTTGGTTCTGTTTTATTACTTATCTACATTAATGATCTTACTGACAACCTCACATCTAAAGTAGCTCTTTTTTCTGATGTCTCAACTTAATACTAATGTCTTGAAAAAATTCTTCTCTTTTTTGCTTAGAACAGACAGCCCATCTTGTATCTGATCTCACTTCTGTAACTGATTGGGGCTTACAGTGGCTTGTAAATTTAAATTCCAACAAAACTCAGTTATTTATCTCAAATAACTATTGCAGCACTGTTGACACAACTATTTTAATGAATGGCAACCCTCTCACTGAATCCTCTTCTTTATGTCTTCTTGGATTATCATTTACTACTGACCTTTCATGGAAACCACATATACAATGGATTGCTAAATTAGCATATGCTAAGCTTGCTTCTCTTTATCATGCTCATCATTTTCTCTTTCCTGATTCCATTCTCTATCTCTACAAATTTCTTATTTGTCACTGTATGAAATACTATTATATTTCATATTTGGGCTGGTTCTTCTAACGATGCTCTTTCTCTTCAAGATAAGGTCCAAAAACACATTGTAAACAGAGTTGAACAAAGTCTATCTGCTAAGCTTGAACCTCTTTCCCATCGTCGCAAAGTTGCATCTCCTTCTCTTTTTTATAAATACTATAATGGTTGCTGCTCAAAGGAGCTTTTATCTCTAGTTCCATCAACCAAAACTCATTCTTGCTTGACTTGTCATTTATCAAAGTCTCATTCTTTTACTGTATCTGTCTCCTTATGCTCCAAAAATATTTATTTGTCTAGCTTATTTCCCAGCACTTCAATCGTTAGGAGCTCTGTCCCAGCTTCATATTTTCCTGACTCATACAACCTTCAACTTTTTAAGTCTTCTGTCAACCGTTTCCTTGCTCTATAACTCTACTCTTTTTTTATAGCAACTCCCAACTTGAGAGTGGTTGCTTGCAGCATTGTTGAGAGTAAAAAAGAATTTAAAAAAATATAGATAAAAATGCCTAAATTGGTTACTTTTGAATCTTCTGCCTGTAAACAAAGTCAAAATAAAAATTTATCCAAAAAATTCTAAGTAATGCATAAGGTTTAGTTTATTTATTATTTAATTGTTATAATAATGCAAGATAAAAATATTAAAATGCCATCGGTTGAAAAATTGGCAAAAGTAGCCGATGCCGATACCGATTCCTATTGTACAAAAAATGTCCGATAAAGCCGATGCCGATTAATCGGTACATCACTAATATATATATATATATATATATAAATATATATATATATATATATATATATATATATATATATATAAATAAATATATATATATATATATATATATATATATATATACATATATATATATATATATATATACATATATATATATATATATATATATACATATATATATATATATATATATATATATATATATATATATATATATATATATATATATATATATATATACTAGGGTGGTCCTTAATTTTCAAAGAATGATTTTTGTATGGGGCAGCCCTGAATTTTGTTTATAAGCATGCATACAAATTTCACAAAAAAACTCAGCTAAATCTGAAAATATTTAGAGGTCCCTACCACATATACTAGTTAAGTATCATTTGGGGTTCCGTGGCTGCATTTCACAAGTTGTTATGCCGGTGAACTCTTTCACTGTACATACCATACTGCCTGCATATTTTATCAATTTGATGTTACTTATTTATTGTTAGGTTTCCCAGAATGTATTTCACCAGCTGTCAGCCATTTTTAATCAGACATTAACGAACAATCACACAATTTAAAAATAATATTTCATTAATCTGAATTAGTGCCTAGTATTGACTACTGACTTTTTCAGGGAAAGTTCCATAACAATGGACCTCATGGATACTGGAACAAAAGTAAGTGTTTTCTTTGTTTATTTTTGCTTGAATGGGTTTTGCATTGTTTGCATTATTGCATAACATAAACATTGTCAGTTGGATTACTGGGTTCTGTTAGTTTTAATAGAAATTATAATTAATTTGTATAATTAAATTGGATGGTAAAAAGTACACTTTATTATTTTGAAGGAGATGGCCAATGCTTGCCGTGGAACTTCGAAACCAACTACAAGACAAGAAACTGAGTTGTGGCTGATAGGCCACGTCTAAAATTCTCAACTTTACAAAGTTACTGTCAAAGAAGGAAGTCATGGCACTATTCTTCTATTACAAAGAGGCCACCAAACAGACTGTTCATGAAGCATCACATTCAACAACTAATGACATTATTGAAGCATGGGCTAAAGCTCGAATCCCGACACGATTGAAGAAACATGTTGTTGAAAAAGTTGTATGTTCCATGAATATGACAAACTGAAGAAAAATAAGGAAAATAAAGCGAAGCGCTCTGAAAGTCTACTGAAGAAGGAAGAAGAATAGAAGGATGGCTTAGAGAGTCTTTTTGACATTGCTCATGCGGATGCCATGAAGATGATTAGCATTCAGGAGGACAGAGAGTTCCTGTTAGCTCAGCGTGAGGCGGGACGACGTGGTAAGATGGGAAGTGTTGACAAAACCTTGGCCAAAAGAGAAAGAGATGTTCACAACAAAGAAGAAAACTTTAAGAGGAGAAAGGAGAGAGAAGAACAGGACAGAGTGGCCAGAGAGGAGAAAGCTATTCTTCAGACATCCGAAAGCGAACAAGAATCTGGTAATGATGATCAAGCATTTGGTGAGCCATCATCAAGCACAACTTCAAAGAGAGCTAAACGTATACGTGGTACACAAAAAATACTGAATGACAAGTTAGCAGTATGTCTGGATATGGCAAAGGTCAGTGATAGAAATGCTGCACTAGTCCTGACTCCAGCATTGCAGCACTTTGGTTATGACCCAGCAGATTTTAATATCAATCGATCGTCCATTCGAAGAGAAAGGATGAAATGTAGGCAAAGAATAGCAGAGAACTTGAAAGCAGAATTCAAGCCAACAGTTCCACTAACAATACACTGGGATGGGAAATTACTGGAAGATATCAGTAGCACAGAAATTGTGGACCGGCTCCCAACCCTCGTGTCTGGACTAGAAGTTGACCAACTTCTTTGTGTACCGAAGCTGCCATCTGGAACTGGAGAAGCTTCAGCGACAGCTGTTTATGATGCAACTGTAGCGTGGGGCATAACTGATAAAGTCAAGTGCGTGTGCTTCGATACTACTGCCGTTAATAGTGGTCCTAGAAATGGTGCTTGCATCCTACTGGAGCAGAAGCTTGACAAAAATTTGCTCTGTTTGCTTGGCATTCCATCTCGAGGATGCTCATTCAAAGCACCGGCAGGACTTCATTGAGCCAGATGGATGGCCAAAGCTATTTATTCATTGAAAATATGGATGCTGAGAAGCCAAT